AGATAGAGAGTTTGATAAGTTATGAATTTGTATATACTAAAGATTTTTAATAAGCTGATGTATATCAGTAATAGATTGGGTAAAAAGATCAAGGCTAGATGTATTAATTGTTGATTGAAGTGAACTGTTAATTAGGTTTTGAAGGAGCTAAGAGGTTGGACATGTAATCTAGTGAAGCATGATACTGGTTTGATCATATTGGTGACATACAGATAGATATTCAAGGTTTCATTTATGTAAAATATGTGGAGTAAACAAGTCATTGAGTAAGATTTTAATACGAAAGGACTTTAGAGTAGATGATTAGAAGCTATGTTTGTAATTAGAGATCTTTTGATTATTTTTTTTTTTTTGGTATTAAGGTGACCTCTTGGTTCAAGTATACTTTTATTGAATTTGAATTATTGGTACAACATATTTGAAGAGTACATCTAGCCATACTTGCACCTTTTGAGCACCTATTTAAGTAGTCTGCCTATTACTAGATTCTACACTAGCTGCTGTACCTACAACCCAACTAGGGGTTACTCATTTCAACCCTCTGCGCTTATGCTATTGAGCCCTATATCAATCAGTACCATTTCTCCAATTCTATGAACTGATCTTTCTGGCACACATTTATATCATGACTTAGGACTACTTTATCCTCGAGGTAAACCTGGTAAAGCCTGCAGTGTTCTCACTTTATATCACATCTAGCCTGCACTTTAGTTTGGTACGCACAGACTATACCTACCACTTGTAGCTCAGTTTTATCCTATTCTGGAAGTGTGGGTGGTGCCGGGTCAAGGTCTTGCCTATGGTTTTTTCTTCAGCTTAAACTTTCTCCTGCTTCTTTTCTACGATTTAACCCTAGTTTTCAGCTGAACTTTGCTACTCAAATCTGCTTCTGCCCTTGTAGAGTTCACTCAAACCCCAAAACTTACTTCACAGTATATCTCTAGTACTTTAGTAACCCAAGCTCCCTTTACCCAGACTTCCAATCCAGATAGCCTAGTATGTGTCACTTATTTTACTCTGATTCAATAACGACCTAGTTAGTATAGGTATTTCCTTATTTATCTGATAGCAGGGCCTCAACCCTGGTTCTCAGACTTCCAATTTAGATAGCCTGGTAACTGTGCACTTTTTCTCTGCCCTAGACAGGTATCTTGAACCTTGGTGGACCTTTCACCTTGCTGCTAAGCCACATGCATTACAACTCCTTCATCTTGGTTCCTAGGTCCTTTATCCTAATACAGTGGCCTGGTTGGTATGGGTGCTTCCCAATACATCCTGTATTCCGTCTAGTTTAGTTCACCTGGGTTCTGTTCCTGCGTCTAACCTTTACAGTAGCTTTGTCAAAGATCTGTGCTACCTCTCTACTCGGTCTTGCCAAGTGGGCTTCTGTATTTGCAGTTCATTGGATTTATATGGCCCAGAGGCTTATCTTGTGTTTGCACTGCCCTATTATCAATTTGTATCTCTTCATGTAATATTAAGTCACATGAATGCCTCAGACCTCCCAGTCTTACTAGTGTGACCGTAGTTACAGGTATCTTATCCCAACTGATCAAATAAATACAGTTAGCTATAACACAAGCAGAATTTTAAAATTTTCGTCACCGGTAAGATTTGACTCTTGACCTGCCGCTTGGAGGTGACAACTTGACCACTTCACTATGTCGCCACACCCCTGAGATCTTTTGATTGTATATATAGTATTTTTTATAGTAAATAATAATACAAATTGAACTGTAATTCTGCTAATTCACTTTTTTGTCAACTATATAGGACATAAGTTCTTTATATTTGATTTTTTTTTGGGTCTCTTTATTTACCTGACACTCATTTCATAAACATAGCACTTCACCTACAATCAATTCACTAACATGTTTATTTTACTAACACTTAATTTACTAACAACCAATTCACCAACAGCTCAATTTATTAACAAGCTCAATTCACTAACATCAACAAGCTCAATTTACCAATATTCAATTCACCAACAATCAATTCACTAACACTCAATTTACCAACAATCAATTCTTCAATACTCAATTTACTGACAAAGTAATTATACTAGAATTATGTTTACTGTAAGGTTAATGAATTAAGCTCACTAGTAAGTTGAATATCAGTAAATTGCTTTTCTGTGAATTGATTGTTGTGAAGTATTATGTCTATGAAATAAGTATTAGTGAAATGAGTATAACCAGTTTGCAACAATGAATAAGTTTATTATTTTAACTGTAAGTAATAGTAGGTTTATAAGTTTAGCATAAATTGTAATTTCGACAGTAAATAGTCTATTACTCAAACAAAGAGTATATTTATGATTTTAACAACAAGTAAATTTGTAATTCAACAGTAAATAAGCTAACAATTTTGATAATAAAAAAAATAGCAATTCAGCATCACACATAAGACAATTAGAGATTTTAATTTTCAGAATTTGGGTATAAATACAGAAGTAGCCAAATATTTATTTTAATATTTGTCTGCTTTATTTAATTTTAATAATTTGATATGATATAATAATATTACTATATATCAATTAGTAATATCTTTGATACAATTTGAAAGGCAGTTTCAAATCATCACTACTCTATAGCCAAAATACAATAAAAATATAAGATACAGTGAAGCCTACTTGAAAAAAGCAAAAAAGTTTTAGCTTAAGAACCAAGATCTTACTATCAGTATCTATAAATAATAATACAAATGATACTTATTTATATAACTACAGTCTACCTTCCCAAAACTGATCTTGTCAAAACTGATAACCTGTTATACTTGATAAAAAATTGTTCCACCATGTCTGTTCTATAATTTCAATCTGATAACCTGCTATTTCTGATAACTAATACTCAAATGATCAGATAACTATAAGATATTGGGTTTGTCAAGTAATATAAATCAATTTGATTGGCTCTGATCGAGCTTTGTATGACCAAGTAGATATAATAATAAATATAATCTAGCCAATTATATTTATTTATAATCACGTAACCAGCAAGTCATTGGTATCTTAAATCTAATAACCTCTTAAAACTAATACAAAAGCTGTCCACCATGCCTATCAGATTTGAGAGGGTATACTGTATAAGCTTTATTTAGATTATTCAATCACCTCAAGTCAAACCTGAAATAGTATTTGTTAATGCTATCTTACATACCAACTATTGAATATTTCCTACTACAATAGGTTACAATAAGTTGTTCACTAGTCTTGATTAAAATCCGAATCTACAATGTAGTGCGATCAATATATTTAAAATTTACAACAATGTTGAGCTAAAGTGAGGCAGAACATAATTAATATAAAACTGAGCTTGAATTGAGACCAAAAGCTATTGCATTGGTTATTTTTCAGATTAGCTTATGTATTTGCATTTAAAGAGCGAATTTTAAATGTTAATTTTTACTGTATCACAAAGTTGTTTTTTTATAAACTTTATGTAACTCTATAAAATTATATAAATATTATATAAAATTTTTATATAGGTCTACAAACCCAATATAGACTTATATAATAAGAATTTTTATATGTAAACTATGTAATTTATGTAGATAATTTTATTTATTATTTATATAAATATAAATTTATATAAATTTTATTTATATTTATATAGAAATAAATTAATTTACTACAACTATTTCTCAAAAGTAACTAATGTAATCACCAATTGATGCACTAAGAAAAATGTTCAGCATAGTTTTACATAAAAATTCTATATAATTCTTCATAAAAACAACTTTGTGATGTACTATATCTGATCTTCTAATTATTAGTTAGCTAAAACTAACTGACAAAGCCTATTGTATATAAAGTTTAGGTATAAATATTTTAAATTGCATTTACATTATTGTGAATCATGATTAAAACTTTAAGTTAGCAATTAATGATTGTGGAAATATAGTAAAAAAATATAGAGTTTAAAACCTAATCAAACAAAGCGAGACAAAATATAAAAAACTTAAAACTCAATCAAAGCCAAGAACTATAAAAAAAAAACAAATAGAATACCACATTGATAATATTTTTTGATTTTAATTAATCATGTATTATCAAATTATCAGTGTCTGTTAATCATGTTCTGTTATATCTAATTATTAGTTGGTGGCGAAGCTGAATAATACAATTTATGCAGCATGTAGATTATATAAGCTCTATTTATAGTATTCGTTTAAAATTAAAGAATAATTTAGTCATTCTTAAATACAAAAAAAATTTGTTGCATATTATTTTCCGAATCTTTTTTCGACCACTGAGTATTTGGTACAGCGTCTAAAATCAGAATCCAAAATTCGAATATGCGGATCCAATCAAATCGTTTGATTTCAAAAATAAGGCAATTTATAAATTTTGATTATGCAAAACCAGGAACGGAAAATCTAAAAAAAAAAAACAGTTAAATATAGGTTTGACTGCTAGATGATTACTTTACCTTTCAACTGATTACTTATTCATCAATAATATTAATTAATGTGGCATTTATTTATATTGATTCTTATTATCGATAAGCAATATATCTGTCAAGTAATTAACTAAGTGTATAGTGGCCTCTGAAATTATAAAACAGTTACACAAAAAATCATAACATAATTTTTAAAAAAAACAACATAACATAAATTTTGTAAATAAGCAAATTTAATAATATATTATTATTACACAAATTAGCAAATTAATAATATGCAATTATTGCAATACATATCGATACCAGATTGATATACTAATCAATATTTGCAACTATAATCTCCATTTTCAATAACTTGAATAATACGGCTTGGCATACTATTAACTAAATTCATAAAGATTGATGAATCTAGATTTTCTCATTCTTCTAAAAGTGCCATCTTCAAAGCTTCATAAGTGTTTGGAAGTGGTTTTCATTGTTGAACATTGTCCTTTAATAATTTCTACACATTTTCGATTAGATTTAAGTCAGGTGTTTGTGCTGGCCATGGAAGACGTTAGATATTTTCACCTTCCATCCATTCTCGAGTATATTTTGCTGTATGAATTGGAGCATTATCATCTTGGAAGGTTATATTATTACCAAAGTTTGCAATTAATTTATACCGAAATGGTATTAAATTTTCTTTCAACATTTCTATATATCTTTGTGAATTAATTGTGCCACTACCATTTCTTTCTTTTCTAAAAACCAACGGTCCTTTTTCTCTTCCTGTAAAACATCCCATACCATAATACTTTTTCTTCTGCTTCTAAATGTTGGAATCATATAGTGCGGTTTGTATTGTTCTCCACATTTTCTCTATACAATATTTAATCGTAAATATCTGCCGATCTCAACCGATGATTCATTACTAAAAATAATCTTTTGCCAATCACTTACACTCCAGTTTATACAAGCATTACACCATACAAGCTGTGCTTCTGCTTGTCTTGGAGTTAGGCCTGGTTTTTTGGCAGCAATACGTCCCCATATTCTATGTTTGTGCAAGATGTTTCTGGCCACTGCTTGTGAAACATTAATTCTATTAGTACTTATAATTTTATAAAGAGACAAATTCCTATCATTCGGGATGCAAATTACTAACTCTTCCTGATGATCACTTATACCAAATTTTCTCTAAAAATAATCACTCTATTCTCAAAATTCTACTAAGTAAACCTACTTTGGCCGCCTAAGTAAAACTGTTCTACAGTAAATTTTACTTATAGGCAGCCCTGTTCTAAACTT